ACCGGTGGGCCCCCACCGCAGCCCAGGTGTGTTTACATGGGGTGAGCTCTGGGGGCTTCTGCACATCCGCCCAGAGACTCCTGCTGGAAAGCAGTTCAGGGAAGCTGTGGCGTCGTGGGGGGCCGACGGGCCGGGCCACAGGGGCATCTGAAGCATCCTTCCCTCTGATGGCAGCGCTTCAGAGGAGGCCGTGTCACAGCCCCAGGGTGATGGGACTAGCGCTCCAAGTGGCTGCTCACTGTCCAGCAAAAGGCCATCGTTGCACGGGGCGGGTAAGACATGGGCTCCATCGGGGCAAGAACTCTCCATGGTGGGGTCCACGTTGACTCTCTTGGCGTGGCTGGGTAATTCCAGGAGAGGCTTCCCTTTGCCCCCGGGTACCCCAGTGTCCTCTCAAAGGCACCCAGAGCAGGGCTTGCCAGCTGGGGACCTTGTGCCAGGAGGGGGGGCTCTCCCACGCCCGCAGGTGGGTGGCACACAGGAGCCCAGTGCACTGGGGGCCGGGGGGTCACATTCTGCTTCCTGGAATCGCTGGCCAGCAGCCTGGTGATGGGACAAATCTTTGCTTCTTTCCTGGAAACATGTGCCAGTTAAAGAGTCTGAGGGTTATTTTCCTGGATTGTTAGCACAGGCTGCAGGATGTCGGAAATCTGTGTAATTTCACGGATACCGTGGGAGTGGGGCATGGCTGTAGGAGTCAGGCTGCGTGACTGTGATCACACGTGTCATGGCCATCAGAGCGGGTGGCGAGCACAGGCACCTCACCCCACCCTTCTCCACGTGCGCACTCCAGGAAGTTTGAGAGCAAAGTGAGGGTGCCCACCGGGCCCCCAGTGCCCTGCTGGCCCTCCGTCCAGTCTGGTTCCTCCTCATCTACACACAAGCAGCTCACGACCCAGGAGTCTCCTCCCCCACCCCGGGACAGCCCGTGCTGGGAGGGGATCTGAGGGATCCTCCTGGGAGGCAGGACCCCTGCCCTGAACCCTCAGAACCCTCTTCAGGGGGGCACCCTGCCATCTCGAGGGGCTCATCTGAGCGCAATCAGCTTCTCTGTAAAGAGTTGGTGATGGACCCTGCCACTCGAGCTGCATTTTCGAGGGTGGCCGTCCTCTCCTGTACAGGGAAGGAGAAACCGGCCACCACTCGCGTCAGCCGAGCCCCCTGCCCGCCCCCACCACTGTCCGACGTGGACGCAGACGAGCTCTCACGGGGTAACTTTGAGGTGGGATTCCGGCCTCAGAAGTCTGTCAAAGCCGAGCGGGAACAGCAGCCGGAAGCCGGAGAGCACGGGCAGCAGGGTGGGGGCCCCGAGGCAGTGGCCCGGCTGCCCCGGCCCAAGGACGGCGGCCTGGCCGTGAACCCCGGCCCGGCGGACCTCCAGAGCTGCAGCCCCGGCTGGTGCAGTGCCTTCTACGAGGCCGACTGCTTCGGCGCCGACGTCTACAGCTACGTGCAGGAGTTGGCAAGGCAGAAAGCCGGTGGGGCCGTGGATGCCGACGCCCAGAGCCCGGTGAGTCCTGGGCCGCTGCCCGGTACTGGGGGAGGGGGTGCAAGTCCCGCGTGGCGGCAGGTAGTGGGGCATGGTGCGCACAGAGCCCCTCCCCGTGCCCCATTCCATGGCCCCCGCCCGCCACCAGCGCCCCCCTCTGGTCTGGGCACCCCCTCCACATCTGGGGTAGGAAATGGCTTCTGTCTCTTTGTGAGCTGGTCAAGTGGTCCACGCGTGGCAGGAGAGGACCTCGTGAGGGCGACCACAGTTGGGTTCGGGCCGTGTCTCTGGCGGGCCAGGCAGGTGCAGCTCCCTCCCCCCAGGCAACCTCCTGCCCCTTGGGCAGCGCACCCACCGCGATGAGAAAAGTGCCGTAGACGCCTTGCCCATGGCAGTCCATTCAGGCCGGCCCCGGGCTCCATCTGGCCCGGCCTGAGCTTCTCTTGTGAGCAGCCCACCCCTCCCCCCGCGCTATCCTGGTCAGGGCAGCCCAGGCTCCTCCCGAGTCAGCAGGGTGACAGGAGGGCACAAACCGGAGAGTGGCCAGGCCAGGCCAGTCCTTAGGTGAGGGCAGCGCCCCAGAGATCAGGACCCGAGGTTCCCCATAACCAGCCGCTCTGACCTGGGCTGTAGCCTCCTCCTGGGACCAGGGGCTCCCACGGAGGCGCACGAGGTGCGACCCCCCCCCCCCCCCCCCCCACCAGCAGAGCAGACGGGAAGGAACCGTCAGCGCTCAAGCATCCTGCCCTGGCGCCTCTACTCGCCCCTGCTTGACTCACCTCCTCTGGCCTCCAAGCACAAGCCCCAGAAACGTTGCGTCGCACGGCCCTCACAGCACCATCTGAACCTTTCCCAGGTGTTTTCACCTTGTTGGCCTCCGGCCACTGCCTCAACTTGGCTGCGCTGCTCAGCCCTGCGCTAGACAGAGGACGGGCCCTGCCTGGTCCTGCCGCACGTGTGGACGGCGGCCGTGCCCTGTGGAGCCGTGCCGTTCCTCCCGGCGTCGTGCCGCAGGCCCTGCATGTGCCGCCTCGGGCAACAGACTCGGAGGCCTGGCCTCGCACGCTGGGGGCCTCCCGTGGGGACCCGGTGCGCAGGGTGGCCCCCATGTAGGGCGCCCTCCTCTGGGACCACGCGGAAGCTTCACGGCACTGTGTTGGAGTCCAGTGCCGCGGGCAGAGAGGACAGCTCCCAGGCCCGACGGTCCCCTTCCTTCCACTGGGGGGCCTGCAGACCTCGCTCGCACTTCCTTTCCTGTAACGTGTATTTGCCCTCGGAGCTGCTGGATGTTCTCGCCCCGGCAGCCCTGGTTCTGCACCCGCGGGGGCCTTTCCCAGAAATAGAAAGTGAACAGACTACAAGGGGCAGAAGGTGCCAGCGCGACTGTGGGCCACATCAGACTCCCAGTCATGGGAAACGGAGGGTACGGGGCTTGCACAGGTGGTGAGAGAACAGAGCGGGCACCAGCGACGGGGTCACGGCTCATGACACCCCAAGACGAGCATAGGCCTCGTCACCAAGAGTGGAACAGCTTCCCCTGACGCAGGATCCTGAGCGTCCCAATGCTCGTCCTCATGAGAAGAACCCACAGACCGTGAGCGCTGGGAGGCGGTGAGGAACAAACACGCTTCACGGAACACTCACGCGTGCACACTTCCCAGCTGTGTTGCTGCTAGGGCCCAGAAGCAGCAGTGAGCACACTGTCCTCCAGTCAGAGGGACCAGGGCTCCGGGGGGAAGTCACCGACCCTGGGACGTGTGATGATGAGCTGGGGCATCTCGTGCCGGAAAGTAAGGAGATGACGAAACAAGACGGGAGACGTCCAAAGTCAGAGGAAGCAGCTACAGAGCTCCGGTGCCCGGAGCGGCAGCAGTCTGAGAAACTAAAGGAACCACGCGGGTCTGTTTTCTGACTCGAAGTGGCGCGTACCCACACGTCCGCACCGAGACAGGTGGCTGACCCGAAAGGAGAGCAATGACCCGACGGTGCTTCTGGAAGAAATTGAAAACCCACGTGGTTTTCATTAAGTTCACGTGGAATCTCAAGGAAGCTCAAACAGCCAAAACGATCGCGACAAAGAAGAACAAAAGTGGAGGATTCTCACCTCTGGTTTCAGAACTTGTCACAAAGCTGCCACCGTCCCCACCGTGTGGTCTCGGCACAGAACAGACGCACAGGCCCATGGGGCAGGATGGGGAGCCCGAAACAAGTCCCCGCCGACGCGAGTGCTGACAGGCCGCCAGGCGCGGGCAGAGGGCAGAGGGCAGTCCGCACAGCGAATGGCGCTGGGAAGACAGGTGTCCAGCTGCACAAAGGAGCGGTCGGGCCTGGACCATACGGCACTTTCAAAAATTAGCCAGAACATCGGAGACCGAAGCACAAGAGCTAAAACCCATGGAGGAACACAGGGGAGGAGCTTGGTGACACTGGATTTGGAAATGATTTCTTGGACACGACACCAAGATCGCAGGCAACAGAAGTAAAAATAGATTCACTGGACGTGATCAAGATGAAAACCTGCGCATCAGAGGACGCCACCAACAGACCGGGGAAAACAGTTACGAATCCCACGCCTGAGAAAGGCTCGGGCTCCAGAGTACGTGGGGAACACAGAGGACTCCGCAAGCACCGAACAACGGACGACGGACTTGCACAGACATCGCTCCGAAGAAAACACACAAATAGCCAAGCTCACGAGAAGGTTGCCCAGCGTCGTGAGTCGTGAGGGAAAAGCGAATCAAAACCACAGCGAGGCACCACCTCACACACAGTAGGGTGGCCGGTACCAGAATTTGGCAAAGAAAGAAAAGAACACGTGTTGGGACGATGAGAAGCTGGAACCCTTGCGCACGGCTGGCGGGAACGTAAAATGACGCCGCCGCCGCGGAAAACGCTGGCGATCCCTCCAAAACCTAAGCACAGAATTATCAGTGGGTCAGCAGCCCCACGTCTGTGCACCCGAACAGCCGAAGGCAGGGTCTCGAGGGGACGCATGCGCTCGGTGTTCCCAGGAGCCAGCAGGTGCGAGCCGCCCAAGTGTCCATCAGCGGATGAGCGGATAAAGAAGATGTACGATATGCACACAGTGGGACATCCCCCAGCCTCGCGGGAGGGAGACACCTGTCATGCGTGGAGGAGCCCCAAGGGCATGATGCCCAGTGACAGAAGCCAGAGACAAAAGGACAGGCCCGGTGTGACTCCACCCTCGCAAGGTCCCCGGAGCCATCACGTTCACAGCCACAGAGAGAGGACAGTGGGCGCCAGGGACGGGGGAGGGGACGGGGACCTGATGTCTGATGGGGGACGACCTTCCAGGATGGGACAGTCCTGGGGATGGGGGGGTGAGCACACTGGATGCCACGGAACAGCTCGATGAAAATTTGTTAAAATGGTAACTTTTATGTTATGTTTATTTTGTCACAAAAAAAATTTCTAAATAAAAATTTTAAAATTAGTTGAGAAAAAAGGGGAGCGACGACCATTGGTCCCGGGGACCTAAACTGACACCTGCAGATGTCACCATAGGTGAAGCTCTGAGTGACAGAGAAGACACGGGCAGCATCCCTGGGGAGCCCCCTTCGCCCGCCCCTCAAGCCCAACCCACCACCGTCCCACCACCCTGGCCACAGCGGGACCGCGACCCAGGAGCCCCACTGACCCAGGGCACAAGTGTGGCAGCCAGGGCGGCTCGCAGTGCCCACACCGACTCCCCCGACAGCTGTGGGGACGGGGGGATGAGAAGTCCAGCTGTGCCACCTGTGTCGGAGGTCACCTTCTGCGGTCACAAGTCATGTCCTCTGACATCACAGGTCACGCCTGCTGGGCGGCTATGGACCGGCTGCCCTGTTTCCGGCCCCTTGAACTCAGGGCCACAGAGGGTGGCTCTCACCTGTGCGAGTGCCTGGCCCAGGCTGACGGGGCCCTGTCCTCAATTCTGTGTTGTCTTCGGGGTGGTGGCCCCTTGCAGGGAGATGCACCCCCTGGCGAGCGTGGGTGACCCATGCACCGTGCACAGACTGTTCTTGAAAGTGGGCTCAGAGACGTGCTCAGCCCAGGAGGCTGCTGGCGCCCGCGTCCGTTCTTATCCGGACCATGACCCTGTGGTGGGGACGAGGCTCCCCGGGCCTGCCACCACTGAGAGTGGGGCCCGGTCCCGTGGTCCTCAGCGGGCGGCTCCCGCGGGGGACGGTCTGCAGGAAGCAGGCAGTTTGAGGGAAGCTGTGGAGTGACGTGTTTTCCCTTCTGTTCCTGCTCTCCCGGGAAGGCGTCTCTGCTGGAACCCGAATGCCGCCAGGTGAGTTTCCTGTGCCCTTGCCTGCATCGTGGGTGGGCTGGATCAGGCCGCCGGTTTCACATTTCTCTCTGAGAACCACCGTGTCTGTTTCAAAACAGGAGCCCCAGACAAACTCGAAGGGTATAAAACAACCATTAGACACACTTCCACATTTGCTGCCCAAACAGAGCGAGTGTGCAACAGGTCAGGCGTTGGGGTGGGGGGGTCAACCAGAGGGCATCATGTTCCCTCCATCCGTCCCTGACCGCACAGCAGCACCTGCACACCCAGTGCGTGCCGACTGGCGCCCCAGCACGTGCCGCGAGTGGGGGCCGGGAGCCGGCCTTCTGCGTGGCCGCAGCATCTCCGAGGCGGCACACGCAGCGCGGAGGTCCTCTGTTGCCCTTCGCCTGCTGTTAAAACGGGCTTTGCTTTCAGTGCTGAGGTGAATGGTGCTGATCTCGGTTCATCCTGTTATGCCCAGAATTCGTGATCCCCAAAGACCACCAGGGAGCCGAGTCCGATGCAAAAGCAAAGAGCCTTTATTCGAGCTAGCTCGAGCTCAATCCCCTACCTGCACCGACGCAGGGGTGAGATGCCGGGGTGGGGGGAGAGAGAGCGAGTTTCAAAAGCACAAAGGTTTTATAGGGGTCTAGGGGCAGTTGGTGAGGTAATGGCTGTGGCCTCAGCCGATTGGCTGGGGAAGGGTCAGAGTCCTGTTACGCAGGTGGCCAGGCGTGTTTTGATCGGGGAGTTTGAACGGGTGAGCGGGAGGTTACTCAAGGGGAGGAGGCGTGGTCTGAGGTTTCTGCGATTTTCCCGGAAAGGGGCCATGTCGGGGACATAGTCACTCAAGGTGGAGGACACAGAACAAGATGGAGTCGGCCGGCGTAGGTCCGCTCTTTCAATCCCTCTTTTCTCTCTTTGCCTACAAGTTCTGGCTTTTCCATCTTCCTTCCGACTGTGGTTCTGTCTCCTTCCCAGCACTGGCCAGCTTTCAGGCCTGTGTAAATCAAGGGCCATGGTGTGTGATGAAAAAAACCCTCACTTGGGTTCGGCCAGGGGAAACGCCTAACCTCGAATGATCCTGGGTGTTTTATTTAGACGCAGCCAGTCCGGCTCAGCCCGTGGTCCAGGACGCCTCTGCTTCTGCCAAGTGTGGCCATGGCTGTGCTGCCCGGCTCCCATGTTTCTTCTCCATCATCCCGTTCTGCGTGAATTTTAATTCACATAGATTTAGTTTAAAATCAGTCAAAATGGTCCTTTCCAAAGAACCAGTCTGTAGTTCAGTAGCGTGAGAGGTGTTACTGACAAACTTCACACCCAACCTTAAAACCTGAGGTTGCCGAGACGCTCACCTGGGACGAGACCGCGTGAACCCCGTTCTGGCAGGTGTGTGACCCATCAGCCCCAGTGCCCACAAACCCGCTCCAGGAGAAGGGGTCTTATCAGCATCTGGACAAGCGTGCAAGGGGGCGACAGGGCTGGACAGGGCCTCATGCAGGGTGGCCTCAGAGGGTGCTCTCCCCATGGCTGTTCTGAGCCACGCAAAAGGAGGGGAGCCCTGGAACACGGGGCCGAGGCCATCCTTCCCCTCTCCGGCAGGGGCCACTGCATCATCAGAAAGCCAAGGTCACAGAGAAGCATTCATGGAGGGCAGAGACACTCAGGTCCCTACACCCAGAAGGCAGAGGAGGAGTCCTCCGCGAACACAGTTCTGCGGGGCCACCTGCATTTGCCGCTGTGTGGAGATTTGTGCCATCTGACGGGACTGCCGTCAACGATGAAATGTTCCAGATCTGCACCATCCATCAGGGCAGCCACTGGCCATGTGTGGCTAACTGAGCGCTTGAGGTGTGGCCCACGTGACCGAGGAATTGACATTTTCATACCACTGAAATAGAAGAGCTGCTACACGCGGCCAGTGGCTCCCACGTCGGAGGCGCACTTCAGTCCTGCCCCCACGTACCCTGGGGGCCCGTTCTCCTCTGCACCCTGGCAGCTGGTGACCAGGGCCTCCAGCTGTCAAGTAGGGGAGGGAGATTTGGACCCGGGGCCACGTGGTGTCAAATCCCACGCTCTGCTCAAACACGGGCCCAGCCAAACGGTGCAACGGCAGCTTTGGGGCAGCTCGAGCTGCCCTCGGCAGGCTTCCTCCCCTGCCCTCGAGGGTCTCCCTCGAGGTCTAAATCGACCTCCTCCCCGTGCGTGACTCCTCCCCTGCCCTCGGCAGCTTGCACTCAGAGGCCACGGGGGATCTGATTTACCAACGGAGATGTGGCAGGGCCATGTGGTTGTGTTTGCACCACACTCCCCAACACCAGGCACGGCCCCTGCCCCCCAGCTGCCCTGGGCCTAGAGGCTCCTACCCTCTGCTGTGGCTGTTGCCACCCCGTTGTTATCGTAGCAGCGTGAAGAAGACAGCCACGTGAACCTCCTTTCAGTAAAACCACCAGAGAGAAGGGATTCAAATATTTAAATTAAAGTATCACCTGCATTTTTTATTTTACAAAATCATACAGAAATAAATGCTACCAATAAAGCAAAGTCCATAGTTGTAGTTAGATAAGATCAGGGGAAAGCTTGTTTGGGTTTGAGGTGATTAGATGTCCCCAAGTGAAAACCACAGTGTATTTGACTTTCAGATTAAGGTTCTTGTCAGTGTGGCCGCTTCAGGGCCCTGGGGCCACCTTGAACCCTGTTAACAGGAAGTTATTTCCCAGGGAGTCTGAGACCTCCCTGAGCCAACGCCTACCTTTCGCTGGTCCCCGGCCCTAGTCTGGTCCCTCACTGTACCCACCCACAGGAAAAGTAAACCCACAGCCCCAGCTGGAGACCCACGCTCAAGGCCAGCTCCCAGGGACCTGCCTGGCTTCCGGACCCCTCACTGCTCCACTGTCACATCCCTTCTCAGCCCTGGGCTTGGCCAGGTGGGGGCAGTGGGCCAGGCTGTATCTGTCAGCTCCCTCCTTGAAGGGAGGGGCCACATTTGGATTCTGGTCCTTTCCAACATTCCCTGCCCTGAGCGGGCCTGCCCTGGGGCCTTTCCTGCCCCCTCTGGGTAAGAGAAGAACCCAGACTGTCTGCCCTAGAGGACAGAGCCAGGGATACTGCCCCTCCGAGCGAGCACCCTTGTGGACTCTCCCAGGAGGATGCGCCTCCTCTCCCTGAAGATGCAAATTCTGCTGGAGGGAGCTGGGGCCTCTGTCGCTGGGCTCCCTGGTGGGCAGTGACACGTGACCCAGCGGAACTTCCGCTGGCACCGCGGCCCTCTGGACGGTCCGCAGGCGGCAGCGTCCACACTTCCAGGCCACTGTACCCACGCAGGGGTGGCCGAGGGCCCGCGGCAGGAACTGGGGCCAGTCGCCCCGAGTCTGTGGCAGGGACTCCATGCTGGGGTCCCCCGGACAGCGGGGCCGAGGTGCGGGGTCGCATGGGGGTCCTGCAGGGACCTCCCCGGGCCGCAAGTGCCCCCCCTCCGGCCCCTCCCAGGACCAGGAAGGCGGTAGGCATGCGCCAGGCGCCCTCCCAACCGGCCGGAAGTAGTATCTGGAGAACGCTCCAGAAGGACAGACCCTCCGTGGGCCAGGGCAGGTGTCAGGGGTGGAGCCAAGGCCAGGAGGCAGGGCCTGGGTTGCAAAGGGATAGGGCGAGGCCCAAGCTGTGGACCCTGTCCGCCAACCCCCTCCTCTGCGGGCATCCTGGGGGCTACTGGGGACCTGACGGTCTGTAATTTTCTTTAAGTGGCTCAGTGGAATCCCTGTCTCTCATTGGCTGGGTTATGGCAGTCCCGCCTTAGTTGGGCTCTGGCAGTCTCTCATTGGCTAGGCCATGACTACCTCTCACTGGCTGGGCTGTTGCCAGGACAGGAGGAAACCTTCCTTCCTCCTGCGGGGTGGTGAAGTGTATCCACCTGCAAGGTCCTTGCTGGGTCTTTACTTCACCGGGCCGTGGGCTGAGAGCTCCCTTGCTGGCCTCCCCCCGCTGTTTCAGCGCGGTTTCCCTTCACATTTCCTAGTGTCCTTGCACTAGGCCTTGCACAAGGCCTCACATCCCAGCTCGCAGGCACAGATAGTCCTTCTGTGGCTGTTTGACAGCTTTCCTCCCAAGAATTTCCACATGATTCACATGTGTGTCCCTGCATGCTAACGTGTGTTCCGTGTGTGCATCTTGTGTAGGCCTTGCTGAGCAGTTGCTTTCGAGACAACAGTCGGAAAGCCTGTTGTGAGCAGAGCCTGGGCCGCCAGCACCTCCTGCAGAGGGAGGAGGGCGGTCGCCTGGGCTCACGGGCTCTTTCCTCACTAGGAGCTGGAGCAGCAGCTCATGATAGAGAAAAGAAACTACCGGAAGACTCTGAAGTTCTACCAGAAGCTCTTACAGAAAGAGAAGCGAAACAAAGGTAGTGTTGCGTGTCCACATGCCAGAGCACAGAGTTGGACAAAGGGCCCACCCTCCCCCCCCCGGGAGCTCAGGGGACCACTTTGTGCCACCTCTGCCTGCCCCCAGGTTCCGAGGTGAAGACCATGTTGTCCAAACTGAAAGGGCAGCTGGAAGAAATGAAGTGCAAGGTGCAGTTCCTTGGACTGGTCAAGAAGTATCTGCAGGCAAGTCCCCCTGCGTCTCTGCCCCTCCCACCCCTGCCTCCCATCCCTGTCCCTCCCATATCTGCCCCCTCCCGTCCCTGCCCCTCCCATCTTTCCCCTTTCCTCAAGAGGCCTTCATGCTCTTGTGGATACCCGGGAAATCAGTCCCTGGGAAAAAAAAAAATCATGAAAACGTGCCGCGATTTTTGAGAAGCCACAGCCATGCAGAGTGACTCAGCACCCATGTCCTGCAAGCACCCGGTGGCAGCAGGTCAACCAGAGGCAGCTAGCTCCCCACCCCGCACACAGGTCATGTACGCCGAGCGGTGGGGCCTGGAGCCCTGCGCCCTGCCCGTGATCGTGAACATCTCGGCGGCCCACTGCGACACGCTGGATTTCAGCCCCCTGGACGAGTCCTCGTCCCTCATCTTCTACAACGTCAGCAAGCACCCGCGCGGTGGCAGGCAGAGGAAGGCCCGCGTCCTGCAGGCCGGCACGCCCCTGGGGCTCATGGCCTACCTCTACTCCAGGTGCAGCCCCCGGCCCCTGGGGGGGTGGGGGGGACTGTGGGCTCCCCTGGGCCCCTGCGTGCCTTTTGGAAGCAGGAGGGAGATGGAAACAAAGAAACAGGCCCCCAGAAGGCGAATGAGGTGAAAGTCTTTGCCTCATCGGAGATGGGTTGGCATTTCTTTTGATTTAGGAAATTTTGAATCAGAACTTTAAGCTGCCTCGTGTCAGCTGCCGCTTGCCTCCTCTGCCGGGCTCTTGGCTGGACGTGCACCTGTAGACCTGGGCGTCTGGGTCTCAGCTGTGCCGGGGCAGGAGCCTCGGAAGAGAGACAGGGGATGTGGGATGCACAGGGGACTTCTGAATTTAAACACACACGGGAGCCTCAGAGACCTGCCTGGATTCCATCCGCTTTGCCGGGTCAAAACACCCCTTAATTAATCATGTGGCTTCCCAGGGACTGCCAGTGCGGTTGGTCCCAGCCACTCATTGAACTATTTCTGCAGCTGCCGCCTCTCGGCAGAGCCCTGCACTGGTGCCTCAGACACTCTGACTGATCCGTGCACAGGGGCGCGTTCACCCTGCAGCATGGAGGACCAGTCCACTCACACCCAGGCTCGCAGGGATCCCCGGGCCGCCCCCTGGCCCCTCCTCCCTTGTGCCCGCCCCGTCCATCGGCACAGCCACGTGTCCCCCTGGTACAGGCACAGGGCCTCCTGGCAGGTTCCCTTGACCCGATGGCCCGGCCCACGCCACGGGGGCCAGCAGGTCAGGGCTGGGTACAGACTACCTTCCCAGACAATGGTGGAGGCCTCCCCCGGTTCTGGCTTTGGGGGGCCCGTGACACACTTGGGGGCTCCCGGGGCCCTCTTTGAGCTGAAGGCTGTGGTGGTCCCAGAACTGATAGTCAGGTGTCAGCAGGGGACACTGGGGGCTGTCAGGGGACGAGGGAAGTACCCTGAGAGCAGAGGCATCCTGGGCCTCCCGGGATGGCAGCCTCTTCCCGTGTTCTCCCGAGGTGGGCTGTACCCGACTGTGCTGGGAGACTTCCCCTGGCGGGGGTCCCCCGACCAGCCCTGACCACCCGCCCGATGAGGGCGGGCTGTGCAAACACAGGAGACGTGCATGTGTGCATGTGTGTGTGGGGTGTGTGTGCGCTTGGGGGGGTGGGCGTGTGTGTGTTGAGGGGTATTACGCGGCGTGCTGCGTATGTGCGTGCACAGCACCTCCAACAAGGGGAGAGCCCTTGCTCAGACCCCGTAGGCACCCCCTTCGTGGGGCAGGCTGGACCTGACCCCTGCCGCAGCACCCCCAGCTCCCAGGAGCCCCAGGGTGACCAGGTGGCTAGGCTCCCTCACCCTCCAGACACCAGGCCTCCACCCCGAAGCCCCTTCCAGGAGCCTTGCCAGGACCCCTGCACCTTTCTTTCTGGGACTCAGTCACTGACCTGCACGGTGTCGCCCGCCCTGGGGTTCCCTGGGGCACCCCTGCGGGCGGGGGACGCTCATTGCCTCACCTGCCTGGTTTTGCCCTGAAGAGACTGAGAACTTTGGGGCACAGCGAGCAGCTCTCCTTCCTAATGTAGTGACTTCCAGTTTGGGGGCGGGGGTCACTGCCTGCGCACACGAGACCCCCAAACAGGTTCTAGAAGCAGATAGCGAGGGTGCCTGAAAACTCGACGTTAAAGAAGGTCCTCCCGCCAGAAATGGCTGGGAGTCCCCAACGTTACCAATACCCGCACGTGCCTTTTACTTCTCCACGTGCTTCTCCTGGCAAGGGCCGCGCATACCTACGCGCTCACACACGCGGAACTCACGCGCCTTCTCGCTCACGCACATTCACATGCGCTCTCTCTCACATCTACCTCAGAACTGCTAACGGGGGGCTGGGGGGAGCCGGGCCCTCCCTCCCCGCTTACCTGAAGCACAGGTAAGGTCTCCTGGGAGGAGCGGCCTGCCGGGCCCGGGGTTGGGGACGGGTGGAGCTAGGAGGCGGGCGGGCGGGCGGGGCCGAGCCTTGGCCTTGCCAGTGTTCTGAGCACCTCCTCTCCGCCCCAGCGACGCCTTCCTGGAGGGCTACGTGCAGCAGTTCCTGTACACCTTCCGCTACTTCTGCACACCCCACGACTTCCTGCACTTCCTGCTGGACCGCATCAACAGCACCCTGTCCAGGTACGGCCCGGCCCACGAGACGCCACACAGACGCACGGTGGACCCCGTGGCGCCTTGTCAATGGCTGTGAAGGGCCAGGGGGGCCCTGCCGACCCTGGCCAGGATGATGGCTGTGCCTGGCCGGAGAAGGCAGAGCAGGAGGGAGGGTGCGAGGGGACGAGGAGCCCAGAGAAGGGAGGGAGCAGCAGGAGGGGAGAGTGGCTGGGGCACCTGGGTGGCTCAGTCGGTTAAGTGTCAGACTCCGGCTCAGGTCCTGATCTCGCAGTTCTTGAGTTCGAGCTCTGTGCTCACGGCTCAGAGCCTGGAGCCTGCTTGGGATTCTGCGTCTCCCTGTCTCTCTGCCCCTCGCCCGCTCACGCTCTGTCTCTCTCTAAGATAAATAAACATTTAAAAAAAAAAAAAAAAAAAGGGTTTTTTTAAAGGAGGGGAGAGTGGCCAGAAGAGACCACCGATGCTAATGGAGGAGGCAGGGAGTGGATGGCCTGGGTGGGGGCAGGGGCAGGTGGCCGGGGTGGGGGCACCGGGGGAGGGGGGTGCTGTCCTGCAGGCCCTCAGCCCTCCTCAGCAGCAGCGCATAGGCAGCCCAGGACTGCAGTCAGTGAAGGATGTATGGACTTGTTCTGGCCTGTTCTCTGACCTGGCCTGTCGTCACCACAGGCTCCCTGCGCCTGCCTGGCCCATCAGCCATCACCTCCCTCCTTGGGGCGGGGACTCGCAGGGGAGACCTCCGTACCCCTTACTCCTGCACGTGTGGAGCCAGGCCCCCACTCCGCCTCTTGTGGAGTGCGCTCACACCGTGTGCCAGACCCCTGGCATCTCAGCCGGAGCTGCAGGGGTGACAGGTGCCTCAGGACTGGCGCCAGGCAAGGCTGGCGGACAGGCAGCAGGCCCCTGTCCCGAGTCGCCGAGCCCGAGGCCCAGCTATGCGGCCACGGCCTCTCTCTTCTGTCCCCTGACACGGGCGAGATAGGGCCGAAACACCCCTCGAAGGCAGAGCCACGTTCAGACCCCACTCACACCCCCTTGCTGGGCAGTGCGTGACCCCCAGCAGCAGACAGAGCCGGTAAAGCTTAGGTCTCTGCCGTCTGCCTCCAGGGCTCACCAGGACCCCACCTCGACCTTCACCAAGATCTACAAGCGAAGCTTCTGCCTCCTGCAGGCCTGGCTGGAAGACTGCTACACCGTGGACTTCACTCGGAACTCCGGGCTCCTGGGCAGGCTGGAGGACTTCCTCTCTTCCAAGGTGAGTGCGGCCAGAGCCGGCACCGGGGCAGCCCCCGCATGCCCGTGGGCAGGACTCGGGGTGAGAGCCACCAGCCCTGTCTGGGTGACGAGTGACCACCCTGTGCTTCTGCCCAGATCCTGCCCCTGGACGGCTCTGCAGAGCACCTGCTGGGCCTCCTGGAGGTGGGCACTGACCGGCGGGCCGAGGGCACCTCACGTGGCACAGACCTGGAGGGCCCCAAGGAGGCAGAGGAGGACACCAGGCCTCTCAACGCCCTCTGTAAGAGGCTCTCGGAAGACGGCATCTCCCGGAAGGTGGGGGCCTTTCCCGGACTGGGGGGACGGGGGGTCTCCTGGGGCAGAGGCAGCACAGCCCAGAGAACGCAGTGCACGCACGCATGCATACACACATTCACACACGCGCTTGTGCACTCACACGTGTGGACACACGTACAGACACACGTGCAGCCCTGTGAGGCTGGCACTTCCCGCCCGTCCTCGCCCTGGACGAGGACAATGCAGGAGCCCCGGCCAGGTGCTCAGATGACCTCACGTTCCTGAGGAGTGGAACAAATCATTGCCAGGAAATGGCTTAGGACGGGGGCCGGGTCTGAAGGGACCTGCCCATAATATATGGGTACGGCGCCACACTTCTTCAGGGGGGGACCTGCTGAAATGACCAGGACAGGTGTCCCAGAGCGGTGGGTGGCAGAGATTGGCTCTGCGGCTCTCTCTCTCTGAGCAAGGGCCTGGAGCCCTCCTGGTCCTCCCCACCCCCACCCCCTCCCCTCCGGGCTCC